CGTTGAAATACAAAACAACTGACCAAAGAGTTTTATAAGCAAAATCTCGTGTTTATCTTTTGCCCATTTTATTTCCTGGGGTTTATTTCCTGTTTCCTTATAAGAACATAAGGAAACACGGTTCTCTTGGTTTCCTCATGGTATATTTATTTTAAAGTGCATGTCATATTACAATAGTTGCCCAGCTTGTGATGAAAGTCATGAGTCTGCCTTTTTCTCTGTTCATGTGGAACATCCTAGATGAAGCCTACTTGAAATTTCAATGGAAATTTTTAGCCCGAGATTGAAGAGAAAAAAAAATATTAGCACGTGAACATGAACAACAGCAACAACAACAAGTAGTGATTATCAGAACGTGGCGGCAAATTCAGACAAAAAATTTAACCAAATACTTCATAAGTTATTATCAGCATGTGTCAACTAAGTGCGTCGAAAAGAAACTGCGCCCGGCCTTGACTACAAAGCAAACCTTCCAAAAAATTCAATTTAACATTATGTACGGGAGTTTGGTTTTGAAAAAAATAAAAATTTAAGTATCTTACATTCGGTCAAAAGAAGGAAAAAAGAAGAAAGTAGAATGAAAGAAACGAAACAAACATTCGTGAGGACGATAAGCCCGACAGAAAAAAAATGAGTATAGAAGGAAAAGGATCGCTTACCCGGCACTCCAACAAGGAGAAAACGCTTCAAAAGCGGTTTTTCTTGGCTTTTGCCTGAGTCAACTGACGGACGTCTTTTATCAGAGAATTTGAAAACGCGATTTACCAGCCGTCACTTTGTTAAACCAGAAGCTGTCGAGATCTTCCAGTATTCCTATTTTTTTCTTAATTATTACCACCATTCATATCATCAAACAATACATACGTGTTCCCTCAAGGTTATAAGGCACAAAGTGTCAAAGGCTATGTCTTGCGGTCTAACCAAAGAATGCACTAGTGTTAAATTCAAGATAGAATAACACAGAAAAAAAAAACATTAAGACTTTCATTCAGTGTTCTATGTTTTAAAAATAAACTCTTTACCGTATTTGGTAGTTCTAGAACTAAGCTAGATCGTATTGTATGGGTTTAGTTTTTCATCGGACTGGAAGCACGGCCAAAAGGTTACAATGCACTAGCCGGGAATCGAACCCGGGCCTCCCGCGTGGCAGGCGAGAATTCTACCACTGAACCACCAGTGCGTCTGAGTTTCTGGGGGTGGCCTCTAGTAAAACATTGGCTTCGCCTCGGGGAAAAATTTGAGGGTTGAG